ACTTTGTTTCCCTTGTGGAAAACCGATTTAATGCTTTAGTAAAATATTTTTGAATTAAAAATGTTCCAGAATTGCTCATGACCAATGTTTTTTATTTGTATTGATACGAATTTCATGCATGGAATCTCCCTAACAAAATGGGGTAGTCAAGCGCAAACACTAACATATTCTTAATGTAGCCCAAGTCCTATATTTCCATGCAAAATTGCCCAAAACTCTATGGTGCTACTTCATTAAACATGGAGTTTATATTATCAATCGATTAATCTCATCTCTTCTCAACAACGAGACCCTTTATAAGTTGCTCTTTGGCACTCTTCTCCTTCTGCACCTCAAAGTCTTTAGATGTCAAGTTTTTCCCATCTGTCAAATTAGTGCAGCAAATTCTCTCCAAGGACTCGAAAATCAATTTTCCTTGACTACAAAGAAGGCACCAACGGATACATATTATTTGGTCTTTCCCCTTGAAGTACTTTTCTAAAGTAAAAAAAGTTAATTAATTGTAAATATTGTAAATAATTTGTATGATATTTTGTTTGTGGTTTTTTTAGAAAAATATTTTATTTATTAATTATGAGAATAATCCTAAAAAATGTTAGATATTTCGTTAATTATTTTTAAATAAACAGGAAATCATGGATTTATTGGTTTTTTTAAAGAGTAGCTTTTGAAAAAAAATATTATAAACACATACACATTCAAGCATTCTCATAGGGCACTTATATTTTACTCTTTTTCTAAAAAAAAAACCTGATACGTATCGACAAGTATACCAATCGAACAAGTAATACAGTGATAAGAAGAGTATTGTTTCCACAGGGATTGTGATCGAATATGAAATAATTGTTCCCTTTAAGACACAAAGAAATTCAAATAGTTGTGAGAAATGTTGTGGATTTGAGTAAAAATAAGAACTAAAGGTAAAGACGTATTTTTGGATTTTTATTATGAAAAATAAAACAGAGATTGAAAAAGAATATAAGAAAGCATTGTAGGTAGAGTGCACTCACCATATGATTCCCGCTTTTTACTCTGGATTGATTTAAAATACTCATCGAAATAAATATTCAGATAATTTATCATCTAAAAAATATAAATCGCTAACCCGCAATTCCTTGCAAGGTTAATCCTTTAACCCCAATTGGAACCCCAATTCCTTGCATTGTTCCTCATGGAATTAAGCAATGAGCACGATAATTTAAACATCTGCAATAATATATACGTCTATTCCTAGCACGCGTACAAATTGTTATCCTACTCTTTTTCAAGATCAAAATCCCCAATATTCCTATCTAGGGTTCTAACCCTCAAACTATCATCAACGATTAGATTGATCAATTCTAACAAAGAAGATAGAAATTACGTACAGAGTAGAGATAAATATAAATATATAAAAGAGTAATTATAAATCAATCCGTTGTAACAAGGGTTCACATAGGGTTTGTGACCCTAACTACAATAAAGAGTACTAGCCAACCATTGTCATGGCTAACATACAAAAATTCAACATAAACTGTAAATAGAAGATGGAAGAAGAAAGGATGAACAAGATTTCCTCGCAAGAACTCTCTTTCTGAAGCACGACGGTTCTCTGATAATTGATTCTACTTTCTGTCTTTTCATAATCCTTTTTATATTACCCTTCACACTTCTTCCAAAATTACCCTTAAAAACATCGGTCATGTTTTCCCGCAAACTGGCGCGGGATCGCGCCACTTTGGCGCAAGATAGTGCCAAAGTTCTGTAAAATGGCCTAGCAAACTAGCGCAGGATCGCGCCACTATGGCGCAGGATCGCACCACTACTCTGGAAAATGGCCCTGGGGTACTGGTGCAGCTCAGCACCACCACTCGCACGGATTCGCGCCAACAATCTTTTAAAATTTCGTATTCTCCTTCTTTCACCCTATATAAACATAACAAATAGGTGAGAAATATCATTGAAATGGAAAAGTCAACATAATAAGCAAATATGTATATAAACTGCTCTTTTATGACTTAATCCTTATCATTTTTAGCTTGGAAAACTATATATGCCAGAGGCACATCAAAATCATTCCCAGATTTAAACGTTGTTGTCCCCAGCAACAGACAAGATCCAAACATGGAAAAACCAAAAACAACAATCTAGCATAACATCACACAGACAATCAATAGATCACTATGCTAAGCATGACTGAATCAATGCAAAGAACTCCTAACAATGCCTTCTATTCTCATGAAAATGTCAGAATCTAACTTGAACACCCCTCACCAAGATAACATATAACACTCAATACTCAAATGTTTGGGGGAATAACAATTACTCAATCCACCACAGCAATAGCACTACCATAAGCTTGATCATATTCTCAAATTCCTAAAGATGAGGAACATTAACACATGCACAATTGATCAAAAGGACTTCACATGGATATAACTTGGCCTGGCTTAGGGTAGGAATTTATGGGAAGTAGCTAAAATTATAAGTTGAGATTGAAACACTGATATACACTTGCAAAATAATCAAATCTCAAACAAATTTAAGCTCCACTATTCTTTAAGATAAAAGATCCATCCCTTTTATTTTTCCACCTTTTTCACATTGCTATATACACTTTCTCTCTATCTTGATATATTATTTTGAATTTTTTTTTAGAGATACTACTTAGCTTCAGTGGAGCTTACCTCAATTGATTTTCTTTTCTTTTCAAGCATTTCAATCTCAAGAAAGGTAAGACAATAAGAATATAGCTAAGCAATCAGTAGGAATCATGAACAAATAGGCTCAGGCTCAAAGGGGTTAACAAAGGAAAAATTGCCTTAATCATTTCGATCAATGCATGTATCACAGAGAAACAGAGCAAGTTCTAGAATGCTATAACAGTGAGGTCTCTCAAGAATAGAAATAAGTGTTTAAGCACAAAACTTCACTAGCTATGGTATCAAGCTAGACTCTTAAAAGAAGCATCAGGTATCATTAATCATTCAAGCACAAAATTCAGACAAACGAGCAATCATGAAATCTACTCATACCCACGCAATATCATGCCAGAAGTTCATACAAAACATGCTTTCTATGATGAAATTAGTCAAGTTAAATAGGGAAAGCATATCTAAACCTGAGACTTGCTCAGAAAATGGTTTCCAAGAATTTTCAATTTTTCAATTTTTTTTTATAAGAGCAAAAACAAGCAAACTACTACGAAAATAAAAATAATAATAACGGTAAGAATATCTCCCCTAATATAAAGTGCAGTTACACTTCTGCAGCTATCTTTCATAACAATGCTACCCATTCCCAGATTTAGAAAATTGTTGTCCCCAGCAATAACTAAACCCCAGACTTATCACAACTACACAATGGAACAAACAACATAGGATGGATAATAATAAGAGCAGCACAATATCAGAATATGAGGACATATACAATCCAAAAGATAGTCTAAGTGACCTTAACATCAACCTAAAGGTCACCACTAAAAACAGTAAAAGACAAAAGTAAACAAAATATACAATAAATCTCCGACAGCAAGGAGATATCACTCGTCCGAGTCGTCACTATCATCCATGACAATCCTCCTGGCAGCAGGGAGGATTCAGTGGCAGGACGATATAGTTGTGGATCCATGAATGGCTGTGATGGCATATGAACATCAGCTGGTGACGGAGCAGGATACGGCTGTTGATAGACCTAAGGAGGAGGAATTTGAGGATACACCGGCTGAAATGTATTGAAGGGTACATCAGGATAAGCATGCTCCAAAAACCTGTATGTATACTCCCCCTGCATGATAAACACTTCATTCTGGATAGATATCCGAGAAAGATGCTATTGCAGTCCATAAAAATCAAATCCAGGAGGGGTTCCTTGTGAAGCAGCAGGATCAGCATGAGCATTAGAAGCAGCAGGCTCAGGTACCAGAGGTGGAATAGGCACACGTGGAGAAGCAGACCTACCAATTCCAACAGTATTGGCTCTTTTCTTGAACTCAACCTCAGATTTAGAGCAGTAATCTATGTAGGTAGCAAGAGTCATATCTGAGGCAGGCTTAACATCCAACTCCTCATCATCACAAATATACACCACTGCCCTAGTACATAAATGATTGATTAGGGAAGCAAATCCCAAAAGCTCTTTTTTCTTCTCCCTCTCACCATGTGACAAATCCTGTCAGATAATACTGCAGCAATATTTAACCTCTTCTCCCTAGTAAGGATGTACAACAGAGAAGCTCGCTCTATATTCACATCTGTCAAATTGGAGGATGGCAAGATGTTAGCATTCACAAAATTATGCCAAAAGCGGCATTCACCAGTTAGATCCTTCATACATAACTTTTCAGGAATGCTACCAGCTTTAGTTTCCCACTTTGAATATGGGCTGGTAATTCCTGTCCTGACAATTTCTGTTAACTGAGGGAAGTAATCTCTATACAGCTTGTGTCTTGAGGGCTGCATCCTTTTATGCATCCTTGGTATTCTTGGGTGCCATGAAAAAGATGAGAAAATATGTGAGAATGTGCTTGGTGTGTGAGTGAGTGACCCTTGGTATTGGAGACTTGAAGCACAATGTGTGAGGAAAAGTGAGAAGAAGAAGAGAAAGAGATGAAATGAGAAGAGATGGAGAAGAGAAGAAGAAAGAAAGAGAGAAGAATAAAGAAAGAGAGAAGAAGAGAAGACAAAAATTGAAAAGGAAAGAGAAATAGGGTGGCGTGGGAATGAGGAAGAGCAAAAAGGGGGGGGGGGGGGTTGATTAGGGCTGGCTGCCAAAACGGCAGCGTTGTGTTTTAAAAACCAACTGGCGCGAAACCGCGCGAATCTGGCGTGGAACCGCGCCATTTCCCTGGATCGTGTACTGCACAGCCGCGCGGGCTTGCGCGAGATTGGCGCTGAGCCGCGCCAATTCTCTGGTCCTTATACTGAACCTTTTTTTTAAATAAATATAAATGAAAAATACTTTGCATTGGGTTGCCTCCCAATAAGCGCGTGTTTAACTTTCCGAGCCTGACGGGTACCTCTTTATGTACCAACGAAATTAAGATATTGAGCCACAGTGTTCTGTGACACAAGCCCTCCATGATAGAATTTCAACCTTGAACCATTCACCTTGAAAGGTCTATCTTCATCAAGTGGTGATATTTCTATTGTACCATAAGGAAAAACCTCTTTCACCACATACGGACCAGACCATCTTGATTTTAACTTACCTAGAAACAACCTTAGGCGAGAGTTATACAGCAAAACCTGTTGGCCAGGCTCAAACTCCTTGTGAATGATCCTGCTATCATGCCACTTCTTTGTTTTTTCCTTGTAAATTCTGGCACTCTCATATGCAGAATTTTTAAACTCATCAAGCTCACTTAATTGAATCTGTCTTGTGAATGATCTTGCTATCATGCCACTTCTTTGTTTTTTCCTTGTAAATTCTGGCACACTCATATGCAGAATTTTTGAACTCATCAAGCTCACTTAATTGAATATGTCTTTTCTCAAGAGCTTTTGTTGGATCAAAATTTAGAAACTTGATAGCCCAGAAAGCTCTATGCTCTAACTCCACAGGTAAATGGCAAGATTTTCCAAATACTAATTGATAAGGTGACATACCTATAGGAGTCTTAAAAGTAGTCCTGTATGCCCATAGTGCATCCTATAGCCTCTTAGACCAATCTTTCAAATAATTCCCAACAGTCTTTTCAAGAATCCGCTTCAGCTCTCTGTTAGAAACCTCTACCTGGACACTGGTTTGCGGATGATAAGGTGTAGCCACCTTATGTTTAACACCATATTTAGCCAGTAAATTATCAAACTGCTTGTTACAGAAATGAGTACCTCCATCACTTATTATGGCTCTAGGTACACAAAACCTTGTGAAGATATTCTTCCTCAGGAAATTCACAACCATTTTAGCATCATTAGTAGGAAGAGCCACAACCTCCACCCACTTGGACACATAGTCAACAACAACAAGAATGTACTAGTTAGAATAAGATAAGGGAAATGGTCCCATAAAATCTATCCCCCACAAATCAAAGAGCTCAACCTCTATTATGCTATTTAAAGGCATTTCATCTCTACGGGATATGTTACCCGTCTTTTGACATTTTTCACACCTTTCTACAAAGTCTTTTGCATCCTTGAAAAGGGTTGGCCAATAGTACCCACTTTGCAACACTTTATGAGCAGTTCTGTTCCCTCCAAAATGGCCACCATAATCTGAAGCATGACAATGCCACAGAATTTGACTCACTTCATATTCAGGAACACATCTGCGCAGGAGACCATCAGAACATTGAAAATGCAGAAATGGATCATCCCACATGTACCTCCTTGCATCATGAAGAAACTTCTTCCGTTGCTGCTTAGTGAGATCAGCAGGCAATTTCTTGACCACCTTGAAATTAGCAAAATCAGTAAACCAAGGTTCTATTACAATAGCCATCACCTGTTCATCAGGAAAAGAATCCTTGATTTCTTGTTCAGGACCATCTTGTAAATCCTTCTCCTGAATCCTTGACAAATGATCTGCCACTTTATTCTCTATGCCAGATTTATCTTTGATCTCCATATCAAACTCTTGGAACAAAAGCATCCACCTCAGCAACCGTGGCTTGGCATCCTGCTTAGTCATCAAAATTTTTATGGCAGAATGGTCAATAAAAACAATAACTTTAGAACCAAGGACCATAGACCACTACATAGACCACTGCTAGCATTTCTTTCTTAGTTGTTGCATAATTAACTTGAGCTTCATTCAACACCTTGCTTGCATAATAAATGACATGCAACATCTTATCCTTCCTCTGACCCAGAACAGCTCCAATGGCATAGTCACTAGCATCACACATAAGCTCAAATGGAAGGCTCCAATCAGGAGCTATAAGAACAGGAGCGGTAGTGAGCTTTTCTTTCAACAAGTTAAAATCCTTGAGACATGCATAATCAAAAATGAACTAATGTTCCTTCACCAAAAGTTGACTCAATGGCTTGGCAATTTTGGAGAAGTCTTTTATAAACCTTCTATAGAAACCTGCATGACCAAGAGAACTTCTAACTCCAGTAACATTAACTGGAGGAGGAAGTTCTTCAATCAACATCAACTTGGCTTTATCAACCTCTATGCCATTCTTAGAAATTCTGTGGCCTAGAACAATTCCCTCTTGTACTATGAAATGACACTTCTCCCAGTTAAGAACAAGATTAGTTTCTTGGCACCTTCTCAAAACTTTAGACAAGTTGTCTAAACATAAATCAAAATAAGAGCCAAAGACAGAGAAGTCATCCATGAACACCTCCAGACATTTCTCTACCATGTGAGAGAAGATAGAGAGCATACACCTCTGAAAAGTAGCAGGTGCATTACATAGACCAAAAGGCATCCTTCGATAAGCAAATATTCCAAAAGGGCACGTGAAAGCTATTTTCTCTTGATCTTCAAGAGCTACTGGAATTTGATTGTAGCCACTATAACCATCCAAGAAATAACAGTATGCATGACCAGCCAATCTTTCCAGTATTTGGTCAACAAAAGGAAGAGGAAAGTGATCCTTTCTTGTTTCTGCATTCAACCTCCTGTAGTCAACACACATTCTCCAACCAGTTATAGTTCTGGTAGGAATAAGCTCATTCTTGTCATTTTTAACTACAGTAACACCACCTTTTTTTGGAACAGTTTGTACAGGGCTCACCCAAGCAGCATCAGAAATTGGGTAAATCATACTTGCATCAAGGAGTTTCACCACTTCCTTTCTTACTACCTCTTTCATCGTAGGATTGAGCCTTCTTTGAGGTTGCCTCACAGGTTTTATGTCATTCTCCATGAGAATCTTATGAGTTCAAACAGAAGGACTTATACCTTTAAGATCAGAAATGAACCACCCCAACGCAGTCTTATGCTCTAAGAGAACCTTTTTTAGCTTTCTTTCATCATCAGAAGACAATCCCTTATTGATAATCACAGGGTAAGTCTCCTCATCACCCAAGAAAATATACTTTAAAGTATCGGGTAACTCTTCCAATTCAAATTTTGGAGCACCAACCTCTTTATCAGACTCCTTCTTTTCAAGAACCTCAGAGACATCAGCAATCTCATCTTCGAAATGAACATGATCACGATTTTTCAAATCCTTTTCAAGCTCTTGAATATGAGTTTTCTCTTCATGAACCACCTCCTCTAAGTTATAAAGTCTGAAACAATCACCATTTTCAAATGGTCTTTTCATACAATCAAAAACATTGACAGTAATTGTTTCTTCATTCATTCTCAACACCAGCTTTCCTTGCTCTACATCAATCATTGCACGAGCTGTGGCTAAGAAAGGTCTACCCAAGAGAAGAGGCATTTCATTTTCTGCCTCCATATCAAGTACCACAAAATCAGCAAGAAAGATGAACTTATCCACCTTCACCAGATCATCTTCAATTATACCACTGGGCTTCTTTAAAGATCTATCAGCAAGTTGAAGAGATACCAAAGAAGGCTTCAACGCAGTGATCCCCAAGGATTTACAAACAGAAAGAGGCGTCAAATTAATGCTAGCCCCAAGATCGCATAATGCTCTGCCAATTTTTGTGTTACCAATTTCAATAGGAATATTGAAACTTCCAGGATCACGAAGCTTAGGAGAAAATTTCCTTGTAATAATAGCACTGCACTCCTCAGTACTTACAACATCAAGGCAATAAGAATGATTAAATTTTTGTGATTAAATAAATAATCTCTGTTATTGAAGTCCATCTGTTCTTCAGCAGTACTTATAGCATCAAGGCAAGTTTAGAAGTTTCATTGTGGTTACACCTCAAGAACACTCTCATAAGTAAGTGTTTGGCCTTTTTCTGTTCCTTACCAGCTTTAGTTCACACAGATCAGCATCCCTCAAAAATCTGAAGATTAAATTCTCTGCACTTTTCCTATTTCAAGCACTCAGAGAAAGAATAAGAATGATTAGTCATTGACTTTGTGTTTCATGTTATTGGCTATTCAAAATTGTACAACCTTAATACTATAACTGAAATGTATGTACCAAGCAGTTTGAACAAAAAGATTACTTTTTTTTTATTTTTTTTGGTGAAAGAAAAATTGGGATTGTGTGGTTAGTGAACCACCCCAAAACTACGTTCCTAGAACGGAACGTATGTTTTTTGGACTATGGAGTTGAACATCAGACGTTCCCTCCATTTGGGAGCTATGTGGGTAAGGTTAACCACCCCAAAACTTTGCTCTTTGTCAAAGAGCAAATGTATCCACTGGGTTGCCTTCCAATCAGCGCTTAGTTTAATGTCTTTAGCTAGACATGGTACTTACCTTTCAGGTGGAATCAGAAAGAGGGATACTTTCCTCTTTTTCATTGAAGGTCTCATCAGTATATAGCTTCAATCTGTGTCCATTAACTTTGAAAGAACGGCTATGTTCAGATCCTTGAATCTCAAAGGCTCCATTTCCTGCATCATTTATAATTTGGTATGGCCCAGTCCATCTTGATTTGAGTTTTCCTGGAAATAGTCTGAGTCTGGAATTGAAGAGTAACACTTTCTGGCCAATTTTTTGATCTCTGTTCCTGATCCTTTTATCGTGCCACTTCTTCATCTTTTCTTTGTATAGTTTATGATTCTCATACGTGTTCCCTCTGAATTATTCTAACTCTTCAAGTTGTAGCAGTCTCTTTTCTCCTGTTGCCTTTTCATCCATATTGAGGGCATAAACTGCCCAGTAAGCTTTGTGTTCCAGTTCGAGGGTAAGGTGGTATGCTTTGCCAAATATTAATCTGTATGGAGAAAATCCTAAAGGTGTTCTGTATGTAGTTCTGTAAGCCCATAATGCTTCATCTAACTTGAGAGACCAATCTTTTCGAGAAGGATTGACTACCTTTTCTATAATCCTCTTAACCTCTTGGTTAGAGACTTCAATGAGACCACTGGTTTGTGGATGATATGGGGTTGCAACCTTGTGTCTAACTCCATATTTTTCCAACAATCTCTCAAGTTGGCGGTTATTGAAATGTTTCCCACCATCGCCGATGAAACAGCGAGGGGTCCCATATCTGGTCAAAATGTTTTTCTTTAGAAATTTTATAACCACCTTAGCATCATTAGTGGGTAAAGCAACCGCTTCCAACCACTTGCTTACATAATCAACAGCCATTAATATGAATTTGTTCCCACAAGAAGGAGGAAAAAGTCCCATAAAATCAATGCTCTATACATCAAATAGATCAACTTCTAAAATGGGATTGAGGGGCATTTCTTTTTGTTTGGTTAAGTTACCTTCCCTTTGACATTTATCACATTGTTTAGCATATTGAAGTGCGTCTTTAAAGAGGGAGGGCCAGTAAAAACCTGATTGAAGAACCTTGGATGCAGTCCTGATTCCACCCAAATGGCCTCCATATGGAGACAAATAG